GAGACCGGGTCGGGCAAGCACGTGCCTCGTGCCGTGTTTGTCGACTTGGAACCCACTGTGTGCGATGAAATCCGCACTGGCACGTACCGCCAGCTCTACCACCCCGAACAAGTCATCTCGGGCAAGGAAGACGCCGCCAACAACTACGCCCGTGGTCATTACACCATCGGCAAGGAAGTGGTGGATGTCGTGCTGGACCGCATCCGCAAGCTTGCCGACAACTGCACGGGTCTGCAAGGTTTCATGGTGTTCAACGCCGTCGGCGGTGGTACTGGGTCGGGGCTGGGCAGCTTGCTCTTGGAGCGCCTGTCGGTGGACTACGGTCGCAAGTCGAAGCTCGGGTTCACGATTTACCCGTCTCCCCAAGTGTCGACCGCCGTTGTCGAGCCGTACAACTCGGTTTTGTCGACCCACTCGCTCTTGGAACACACGGACGTCGCGATCATGCTGGACAACGAAGCCATCTACGACATTTGCAAGCGCTCGTTGGACATCGACCGCCCGAGCTACACGAACTTGAACCGTTTGATTGCGCAAGTGATCTCGTCGCTGACGACGTCGCTCCGCTTCGACGGGTCGCTGAACGTGGACGTGACGGAGTTCCAGACCAACTTGGTGCCGTACCCGCGCATCCACTTTATGCTGTCGTCGTACGCGCCGGTGATCTCGGCGGAGAAGGCGTACCACGAGCAGCTGTCGGTGGCGGAGATCACGAACAGCTGCTTCGAGCCTGCGTCGATGATGGCCAAGTGCGACCCGCGCCATGGCAAGTACATGGCGGCATGCTTGATGTACCGCGGCGACGTAGTGCCCAAGGACGTGAACGCGGCCGTGGCGACGATCAAGACGAAGCGCACGATCCAGTTTGTGGACTGGTGCCCGACGGGGTTCAAGTGCGGCATCAACTACCAGCCGCCGACGGTGGTGCCGGGCGGCGACTTGGCCCGCGTGCAGCGCGCTGTGGCCATGATCTCGAACACGAGCGCGATCGCCGAGGTCTTTAGCCGCATCGACCACAAGTTCGACTTGATGTACGCCAAGCGCGCGTTCGTGCACTGGTATGTGGGTGAAGGGATGGAAGAAGGCGAGTTCTCGGAAGCGCGCGAAGACTTGGCAGCCCTTGAGAAGGACTACGAAGAAGTCAGCGCGGAAACGCAGGAAGGCGACGGCGAAGACATGGAGTACGGCGAAGTTTACTAGGCTGGTATCGTGGCACCGACAGAGCAAGGGAACGCTCCGTTTTTACCTTTAACGTGTATGATCTCTCGCTTGGTTTCGTGATTGTACCCCATGAATCTTGGTAGAGCGGGTGAGCTGCCCTCGCGGCACCTGGGTCATGGGACCACGATACGCACTGCGTGAGCAATTACTGGGCCTCCACCAATTCTCTCCACTGAACTTGTTGGTCCCGAGCTGAGTCATGCGTGCTGCATCGGTGGAATTGCATTCACGAATTGTCAACTTAAGCTATTCCAAGGGGGGGAATACGGCACCGTTAGACAGTGCTGAAGACTCGACTGTCGATGAACCGTGTGGTTTGCAGCGCGAGTGGTTTCGGATGGCATGCCCAAGAACACGGCATCCCCGTTCGCGATGGATTTCATCGGTGCGGAGATGCTGCGACACTTAATCCGGTTAATGTATCCGGATTTGACGTTTCCACAGCATTGATTCATTGCGACAATTCCATGGACGCCTTCCTGCCTGTACTCCTTGCGCAACCGCTCATCTATACGAACCCGAGCGTTCCGTTCGCATATGACGCGATGACGACGCGCCTGCCGAATCTGCTCAATGACATGGCCGATCAGAATTCGAAACCTCACGCTCACAACACGCTTCCGCCCGACGCGATTGGTGCACTGCGAGCACTCGCAGCTTCTGTCGCTGCCAACGGCGCGATTCCGCCGCTGTCCGATCCGTCGAGTGACCCGACGTGGCACGAAGACTGGAAAAAGCATGGAGAAGGGCGGACATGGCACAACGCGGCGTGGTTCTTTGCTGAAGCTTACTTGTTTCGCGTCGTCTTGGACGTGACGGGGTTTGCTGTGCACGGGATAGATCCGTACCACTGCCAGTACGTGTTCTTTATGGTCCACGCATGGAGGTGCGAACTCAGTGTGTCTTCATGTTGTAGGAAGATGGCAGAGCTCAATGACCCGACGCCGTGGCGTCTCCTCGAGTCCGCTGCTGCTCTCCATCACACGACCGACGACACGACCGCAGAAGAGTCGCTCGGAGTGCTGCTCAAGCTTAGTTTGTGGGGTAACAAAGCCGACGGTGCCTATAAGCAAGTGAAAGACTCCATTCGCGGAACCCACGCGACTCTCGACATTGACGACGCTTACCTCCTCGCGGACGACTCCGCCGCGGTAAGTTTTACCTAAACACACCTCACCAGGTTGACACGTCACTGACGCGTGCTTGCACAACATGTTCAGGTGATTCAGCATCTCGCGGCACACCCAACCAAGCCCGTCCACTTCATCAATGACAACTGCGGCACGGAAATCCTGCTCGATCTGGCGCTCGCGGACCACCTCCTCACCCACGTACGTGTGCCGTCGTCCATGACAACCCGTCTGGCGCGATCACCCAACGATGACGCGTGCATCCTGCCTGTCGCACTATAGAACTGGACGCCATTGATTCTCCTCCACACAAAGGCAGCTCCAACCTATATTTCGGACGCCACACCCCAAGATGTGTTGGAAACTATTCAACTTATGGGTCTACCCACACGATCGTCGCATGTGCGGGCGCTGGCGGCGCGGCTCCAAGCGCACGTCGACAGTATGTTGTCGTGCGTCGCCTCCTCGGTGCTAACACCACTTCTCTCCAGACCACCGATTGATCCCGCAGTCGCACGCCGTGTGGAATCAATACCGGTTCTACTTTGAACTCCCGGACGACGTCCGCGCGACGCTCGCGACCGCCGGCCTCGTCATCTCGAAAGGCGACGCCAATTACCGTCGGTTCCTTGGCGATCGGCTCTGGCCCGCGACGACGCCGCTCTCAACCGCCGCGCCGTTCTTCCCTACGTCATTTGTGGCCTTGCGCACAATGAAGTCGGACCCGGTTGTAGGGATCGCCCGAGAAGTCGAAGCCAAACTGAACGTGGAGGACCCGCTATGGCGCATCAATGGCAAGCGTGGCGTCATCCAGGCAGTCTTGCGCGAATAAACGCGTTGAATGGACCTCGCATCATGTCCAGTTTGTTTTCACGCATCGTCATTCCAGAGTCTCCAACAAGAGCTACGATGGCACAGAGAATTCATTCGCCTATGACGGAGGCCCGTTGTCTGTGCATACCCCGCACCGATTGCAGATGGATAGAAGCAGGCGCCGCAACTCCGTCGATCGAGATGGTGTGCTCGCCGTGTGCGTGATCGATGTGATAACTTGTGACTCTGCACAAGGGTGTAAGTGGAGACAAAGTGTTGTGCAGGCCAGACGCTAGGCGCTGACGTCACAGGGACTGCGCAGTTTCTCCACTTCAACCCACAACATCGCGATTGGAGCAGTCGGCAGTCGTCGCATGCACCCATGGCGGTTGCTATTCGCGCTGTTGCGTCGACAGCGGCGGACCTGCTTTTGAGCTGTACCTACGAATTGTCATGGAGCTGGTGCCGATCCATTCAGTTGGGTGAATAGCGAGCAGAGGGTAGACAACTGCGCGCGTTCCTGATCACGACACGAGCTACATGACACTGCGCTTGGAATTGCTCTTGGTCAGAGATTACATGCTCCATCAACTAAATCAAGGAATTCGTCGGCACTGAAAAGGCTTACGCAAGGAGCGAGGATGTTTCTGTCGCCACGGACGAGTCTTTGGTGAGTGTCGGAATGGCTTGGATGGAGCAGACGATCCACAGCGTCAAGAAAACGCCGGTCGTGATGCCTGCAATGGGGCTGGCTACGATCATCGTGGACAGCGGCGCAGTATAGACAAAGTAGAGGCGAACGCTGTCTTCGGCCAAGACGACGAGGCCAACAATGATGGCGATGGCGCGGAAGCGGCGACGGACCACGGAATCTGTCCGCCATATGTGGTCCACTCGCGCAACGTCGTTGTGGGTGGCATCGTACCATCCGCGAAACGCCAGCCAGACCAAATTCACTCCATTCGGCCACAGTGCGGACCCGACAAGGACGACCGCGAAGATCATGGGCGGCACGATGTCCTTCAATAAAACGACACGAGGATCGTCCGTGTACATCATGACCGCAATCGCTATCCCGGTGATGGCCAGCTGCAGCATCGAGATGTAGTCGACATGGCGCTCTCGCACGAGCTCGTACACGCACTTGCCTAGCGGCGGCAGCGTGTACAAGATCATGGCGTTCAGGGTCGTCGTGAACTGCGACGCGAGCCCAAAGACTGCGAAAGGCAGCGCAAGGTTAAAGATGACGACGCCAGAGAGGCGATTGGGGGGGTGCTTTGCATGTTGTCCTTTCAATGGACTGCTTGGAGAAGCCATCGTGCTGGCGTCGGTGGTAGCGGCCATCGTGCCCTTCCTCGCGAAGTAAAGTCGAATAACGAACCGTCACGACGTGGGTCTGGGCGTTTCAAGACCGAACAAACGCGAAGATTCCAGTGATGATTCAAAGAGACGTCTGCTGCAGGCATGACTTGCCTTGCCCGAGGCGCATTGGACTGTGTCCGCAAAGCTTCTCCAACGGGCGTGTCCGGGCATTACATGGACGAAGATGTAATGCGTGTAGTACTCCAGCGGGTTGGTTGAGCGCACGTGGCGATGTGGCTAGCCTTCGAACGTGGTCATCGAAACACCAACGCGAGTTTTGCCGAATGGCGTTGGAGGAAACGGGATATCATGTCCAAACTAGCGTCATCCTGTTCTGGCGGTGTAGTCAAGTGGTGGTGGCGCGTATAGCCATGGTGGCTTGGCGAGCGCCACACACGCATGGACCACGTCATTCCTTACAAGAAATCTCCTCGACGTGCACGGCGATATCAGAGCCTACAAGGGATATGCGCCATCGTGCAGCCCTCTTCCCGACGCCATTCGTGGAGGCGTGTGGCTGTTGTCCCACACACACTGGACTCGAATCGGTTTCACGCTATGTTTGGGTGTAACTGACGGCCACTTGTAACAGTCGACAACCGATGGGCAGGGCCCAAGGCGGCGTCGGACACGCATCACCCGCAGGAAGATGAAGAAAGCAAATGAGAAGCGGGCTGTGAATCTCCCCAAGCTGTCGACAACGGCAACCACCGACGGCGGCGACGTCACTCCACGCCGTCCTCCGAAGCTTCTTCTCGAATCTCCGTCCGCTGGAGCCGAGTCGTCGTCACCACAGCAGACCCCGCTCGCGCTGACACCAATTCTCGGTCTCGACAGCACTCTCGCGGCGCCAACGAAACCCGTGACACTCATGGCCCCCACGACTCCTTCCAAACAGCCGAAAGGACATAGTTTGCGCGCACGGAAGCTCGAAGATCCGAACCACCACCACCAGTCTCTGTCGCCGTCGTCGCCGACGTCGTCCGTGCCAAGTCCAGGGCAGTTGTACGACCCAACGTCGTCAACGCTGCTCAATCCAGCGTACGAAGTGGACATGTCGTTGCTGGAGGCCGAAGTGGACAAACTCCGGCAACTCGGCCAGGCCGCCGAAGGGCACGCTGATGCGATATACGCCAACAACGCGAAGGAACGCATGTTCTTCAAGCAGGCGAGGTACGTTATCTGCGCCGACGTCATCGACCTTGAGTGGCATGCCACGGTAGCTCCGAGATCGCCAACATGGAAGCCGACATTGTGGCCAAGCGCCGCGCCAGGTACGATGCTGGATTGAGTCGTGCAGTGAATTCGTGCGTTCGTGCTGTGAGCCGATCCTGACGACGTCGGTCTGTTGTTTGCAGCGTGCAAGAAAAGCAAGCGTGGAGCGCGGAAAAGGTCGAGTTTGAGGCGTTGCTGGTCGCCAAAGCCGCCGAGTTGGCCGCGAATGAACGCGAACGCGCCAAGTTGTCTGAGACTTTGACGCAAACGGTGCAGTACTTTACGCATGAAGTCGAGTCCCGCGACAAGGTCATTGCAGCGCACGTCGCCGAGCTGCAAACGACGCGCGACGGTATGAACAAACCGCTCGTTGGTGACACCATCTTGGGTCCTTCTTTGGCATGGCTGCTCAAGGCGGTTGTAGTGCTCTCGGCCACCGAACACAGTCTGCGGCAAAGCCAGATGCAGCACCAGCGCGCTGTCGATACACTTGCCAAGCACGTGGACGACCTGGATGTGACCAAGGCGGAGCTCGCGACTGCCCGCGACGTCGTCAGCCAGCACGAAATCTCAATGGCAAACCAGTCCAAGCATATCGCGGCCACCGAAACCGCGCTTGCACAGGCCCGCACGACGATTGCGTACGTGCTGTGTGCATGGCATTTGTCACGGGCGCTGACTTCGTCGAATACGCCGTGCAGGTCGCTCGAAAACAAGTGCGCCGACCAGAAAGGCACGCTGCATGCATACAAGGAGGAGATGCATGGCTACGTGTTCAACGTCGACCAGCTCCGCCGAGAGATCAAGCAGGGCCAAGACAAACAGGACGAATTGATGGCAGTGATCAAAGGCCATGAGAAGACCATCGCGGCATTCAAGCGGCAGCAGTCCAAGTGGGATGCCGCCAAGGCGGCGCACGAAACCGAGCAGAGCGAACACCGCGCCATCACAAAGGTGCGAGCAGCGTTCAAATTGGAAGCGCATGGCCGTCTATCGGGCATAATCTCGACGGTCTCGGTAGATGCACAAAGAGCGAATTGACGCCCAAGCAAAGCTCATTCATCGCCAGGAAGAGTCGATTGTCGCCAACACGGTCGCGCACTTGGCAGACTTTACAACGATCGACTTGCAAGCGGCGCAGCTCAAGACGTTGACCCGCACCGTCGACGACCAGAGCGCGTACATTTCAAAGCTCGAAGCAACGTGCCGAGCCGCCGAGATCCAGCATCTCAAGAACCGGTACGAGAAAAGTCGTAATTGGGGATGGAGATGGCCCCGATATCTATCGTGCAAGTCGTTGTTGCGTCACATCCATGTGGGTGTAGGTCGATTGTCGAGCTCCTCCAGACCAAGATTCATGGCCTTGACGACGTGAGTAGTCGCCAGGACAAGGACATTACCTCCTTGAACGAACGGCTGGCGAAGCGCGACACCCTCGTGGCCGCCCGCGACGCAGAAATTGCGGCGCTCAAAGCGTCGTTCGAGTCCATGTCGACCGAGTTGCGTGGTCAAATTGAAACGAACCAGGCCGTGATAGCCGTCCATATTGGTGTGATCGAAGCGATGCGGGCGACGCAAGAAAGCCTCGTCGCGGCGAAATCGCAGTTAGAAACGGACCTGGATGCGCAAATGACTCGTGCGGCCGACTTGGACGCGACGCTGCTCCAATTGCGCAAAGCATTTGCCACACTCGAAGACAACTACATTGGGCTTTGCCTGCGCCACAGAATGGACGAGGCAAGTCACGCCCAGGCCTTGCGGGAACTGGCAGCATGGGCCAAAGCGACGCTAGACGAACGAGGTCTGGAGCTGGCGGAGCGCAATCAGGTACTTCGTGAAGCGTCGGAAGATGCCGCGGCGACCCTCGCGGCCCTTCAACACATCTTGGACGAGACGAACACGTCGTTTGCCGATTGCAAGGGCCAGGCCGCGGCCACGGCCGCTGACTACGAAGCCAAAGTCGCAGAGCGGACCGAGGCGCTAGAGCAGCAAGAAGAACGCATTCACTTACTCGAAATCCAGCTCAAGATGAACGCGGAACAGGCCAACCAGCGGCGCCAAACTGCGCATGATGAACGGCAGCGCGAGATGGCGCAGTTCCAGCTGCAACTCAAGGGAAAAGAAGATGTGTTTGAGATCGAAGTGAGCCGCTTGAAGGGCCAAATTCAGCTCGTACGTCGATCTTTTTACCGAGCCATGGAACCTCACCAACTTGTAGGAGCGCGCGGCGGCGCTCGCGCAGCTCACTACTCTCCAGGAATCGTCTGAAATGGAACTGTCCAAAGTGCAGAGCGTGTTGCAGCAGGTACATTCAGCTCCTTGACTCGACGCCCAAACCACTGTGGACGTGCAAACTGTCCAAAACGAACGAAAGCTCTTACAACCACTCGTCTTTGTAGGAACGGACGGCAGCGGCCGCGACGATTGCCCAGCTACAAGAAATCCGCACGAAACTCACACTGGAGCGCACGCAGCTCCACGAAGAGCTCGCACAAGTTCGAGCAGGCGCAGCGGAGGACGCCAGGATGTTGCGACATCAGCATGGAATGCTCGACGAAGAGATCAGAGGCGCGGCATATGCGCTGGCTGCTGCTGCCGCCGCTCAGGAATCGTTGGTGAATCGGCACACGGTTTTCGTAGCTCAGTTGCGCGCGGACCACGCAGCATGTCTTGCCAAGGCTGAGGCGGCGCATGGGACACTCGTCGCCGCGCTGCAGGAAGACCACACTAAAGCCACGACCGAGTTACGTGCCCAACACGCCGCCTTCGCCAAGCAAGCGCAATACGACTTGGCCTCGCTGGAGGAATCCCATGCCGCCCAAGTCGCGGCCACTGCGGAAGAGACCCAGCGCCACAGGCTTGAGCTTGAAGCCAAGCTGCAGTACCAAAGGGAGACGTTGACGGCGCAGCTCAAGGAATCCAAGCAGTCGTATGAAGATCAGCTCGTCGAACAGCGCGTGCGGTTGGAGTGCCTGAACGAACACCAGCGCGAGATACTCGAGGGTCAGCTGCGGGACCAAGCTGCAGAAACCGTTGCCCGGGAAGCCGCGACGCGCGCCACCTTTGACGCTCAATTAGCCGCTGTGAAAACGGAGTTGGAAGGCCAACTTGACAAGCTACGTGCAGGCTACGAAGCGGTCATTGCTCAGCAACGCGAGCGGTACGACGCCACGATTCGGCAGCGGAAGGAGCGGTACGAGCTCGACGTGGCCACCCAGCGCGCCGAGTTGGAATCGGCTCTCGCGACGACTAAAGCCAGGCTCGAAGGGGAGCTTGCCGACACGAAGTTGCGGCTAGAAACAGAGCTCCGAACAACGCGCGAGACGCTGGAGGGCGAAGCGGCGGTGCAAAAGGCCTTGTACGAATCCACGCTGCGTACGACTCGAGACACCCTCGAACGTGAACACCGTGAAACCAAAGCTGCATTGGAGGGTCGCCTCACTGCTGTCCAGACGACGCTGGAGGCGGAGCTGAGCCGTCAAAAGGAGCGCTTTGAAGGTGAAATCGCGCAGCAAGCCACCGTTTTTGAAGCCGACGTCGCAGACCAGCGCTGCCGGTTGGAATGCCAACTAGCCGAGCAGAAAGACGCCATGGAGAGACAGCTCACGAGCCAGCGGATGGAGTACGAGGCCGAGATGCTGCGGCAGCGCACCGACCTCGAATCTTCCCTTCGCGTCCAGCGTGATGAGTTGGAAGGTCAACTGAAGACCACCCGGTCAACACTCGAGGACGAACTCGCGCGTGAGAAAGCCACGCATGAGCGCAGCGCGGAGGACCAGCGCGTCGCGTACGAGGCGCGGCTGTTTGCCCAGGACGCTGATCTCACGGGACAGCTCCACGAGTGGCAAACAAAGTACCATGACGAGACGACATCGATGCGAGCACGTTTCGACCACGACCTCACGACCCAGCGCGCGGCGCTCGAGGGCGCGCTGGTGACGCAGAAGGAAGCGCTCGAGACCGAACTCCTCCAGCAAAAGGCGGCGTATGAGACCAAGCTGGCTCGCCAGGAGGATATGTTTGACACGCAAATGGCGGAAAAGTGCCGCCAGTACAACCTCGACATTCAAGCCCAAGTTGACGCGTTTGAAAAGCACATGGCCGAGCGAACGGCAGCGTGGGAGGCGGCTGTCATGGCGCAGGCAGCAACCCATCACAGCGAGCTCCAAGCGCTCGTGCAGCAGGGAGAGCACGACCAGGACACTGCCAAACAGACCATTCTGGAGTGGACGACGAGGGCCAACGATCTCGAAAGGTCAGCAGGTCTTCGCCTCGCTGCACTGGATGCAGGTACATTTGGGGTCCATGCGATGTGTGGTTAGCATTGGTTTGCCACGGGAATACTCCATGAGTGGACGAGAATGGTTTGACTGCAGTTGGATTGCGGAAACTTACGTGGGCTGTAGAGGTCGCGTCGTTGAAAACGCAGCTACAGGGCAGCATAAACGACCACACGACAGCCGCCAAGGCGTTGGTGGAGGCTGTGGCAGCCCACAAACAGGATGCAGAAGCCGCGGAAGCCTCGATCACGTCACTCAAACAAAGTACATTTTCATACGCCCCCGACTCTATCTCGTCATGTTGTCGTTGTAGACGTCGCGGCGCTGGAAGCCCATGTCGCGCAGTGTTACACGGGGGACTTTCTCGTGACGCGCATCAAAACTGGAATGCACGCGCTGATCCAGCCCACGTTCCATCCAAACATCGCGGAGCATGTGGCAACCATGGCGAGCCTCGACGACGTCGATGCGCTCTTGGCAATGCTTCTTGCCCTCGCAATTGAGTGCCAAACGTTTGTGCAGGTGCGATTCCTTGTGTATTGCTGTCCTGGGGCCCGCTGGCCACTCTATAAACCGCGACGTGTTGCAATGTAGGTGGGCTCTCAACGGCTGGACGTGCAACACTTGACAAGCATCGTGGACGAGCACGACTCGCTGTGGGCGCAACTTTCGCCTGCATGGGCTAGCAGTTCGCGGGACATTCACCAAGTGATCTTCCACACCAAGGAACACATGCGCCTGCTCGAGAAGTTGGCGCAGCTCGTGCCTGACATCGGCACGCCGAGCGTAGACGCAGCTCTCGCCTTCGCTTCGACCTTTCAAGCCCATCGCAAACACGCCACGGCCATGTTGGCCACGACGTACGTCGATCGTGAGTCGTGCGGCGCACAGGATGTGAAGGGATTGCTGTAGGCCGTCCAAGGCTTCGTCGCCCAGCGACAACGCAGCCGCCCTTGCAACGTCCAGCGACATTCTTGACGCATTGCAAGCTTGGCAGTCCTTCCGCGTCAACGTTGCGAAAGGTTCGTCGTCCGTCCCGATCGTTCGTTGATGCGTCCAACCCTCGATAGCGTTGCGACTGGCCGACGGCGTGTGGCGCGAAGCCGACGTCATTGCGCTCGTGGACGAGTATATGGTTCTAAAAGACAAAACGCGCGATCGGTTCCAGCTCCAAGAGGTACGACGCCTCGTTTCCATGAATGCCAGGTCACGAAGGGATGAGTAGGCCAACTCGACAGTGATTTTTCAATACCTTGACGCGTATCACGCGTGCTTGAGTCAAGGCAAGGCGATATTGACCACAGAGCCCGGCGAAGTCGACGCCGCGACACTGTTGCGCCACGTGGATGCGTACGACCAGCTGCGCACACAAGTCGCCCGCGTGATGAAAGTGCCAAAGAAAGATGTCGATAGCCGCATGATCCTGGACGAAGTGACCGAGTGGTTTACGCTGCGCGGTCGCGTGGCCAGCCACCTCGGTGGCGACGCTGGTAGTACGCTACCAACGGCCACCACAATTGGCAACACAGTCGAAGCCCATGCAACGCTACTACGGGACGTGGCGGCAGTATGGGAAGAAGCCGACCCCATCACCGTCCCCCGCATTGTTGCCACCATGCAAGAGTATCATTCCCTGCGACGGGATGCTACCTCCGTGCTGCAGCTGCCAGCAACGACAACGCCAGGCGGCACGACCATTGTACCGCGTGACGTGATCGCAATGTTGACGGAATATGTGAATCTCGGCCAACAAGTCGCCAAGCAGCTCGAATTGACATCGCCGCGGGCCACGGCTCGGGACATCACCGACGCACTCGCTGCATATCAAACCCTTCGTGCAGATGTATGTGATGCCATCCTATGACGTTATCAAGTCCCGATGACGTTATCCATGCCAAGTTGGTTCATCTCCACCACCCTACGTAGTGCGCACGACTTTGGCAAGTCGCCCCGCCAGTTCACGCCACAACGATGTCTCCCGGCGCAGCACCGGCGTCGTCGAAGCGGAGCTCCGCCTCCGACATCCTTGCGTGGGTTCAGGATTATCATGGGCTGCGCTCCCGCGTGTCGATTCTTCTCGGCTGTGGCACCGACGGCAACGCCGAGCTTTGCGCGACGGAAGACATCGTGACTGTCGTCCAGACGTACTTGGAATTGGCAGTCAAGCACCGCGACCTGGTGCGGGCCAAGATGGCCATCGAGGCCAACAACAACGCGCTTACAGGCAATTTGGACGCGGTGCGGCAGGCGCTACAGGACCTCGAGGTGCGGTGGCCATTCGGTCGATGCAGTTTGTTGGATCATGGGGCTGGCTGGCTGGTTGTAGATGCGCGTAGCTGCCGTGGGTTCCAAGCACGGACTGGCCTTGTTTACTTCCACCAACCCGCAGCTCTTTTTTGATGCGCTCGATCGTAAGCTCCAGGACGGAAAGGACTTTGAAGCGGCGTTCCATCGGCGAAAACTGGCCCATGAACAAGACGTCGCGGCGCATACGGCGGCCGTGGCGACGCTTCATCGCGAAGCGGCTCTCGCGATGGACGCGCTTCACCGGGACCATGACACGGTGCGTGTCGTCGCCACGCATAGTTTTGTTTGAACTCAAGTCGTCGAGTTTGCATTGGGGAGAAAGACTTCGTTGTGTGCTTTAACCAACCGATGGTGTGTCTGGCCATAGAAACGCCAAGACGCCGAGCGGGCAGCAGCGCAAGCGCTGGCAGCCCTCGACCGCGCCCGCGCACTACAAGTTGAAGATCTCATGACGGCTAGCGCGCGGCAGTACGATGATCTGCAGCGCTCGATGGCAGCGCAGTTGGAAGCATTGCAGCGGGACCTGACAAACGCACGAGCGATCAAGCTGAAGGAACAAGCCGACTACGACGCGATCATGGACACGATTCACCGCGCGCTTGAGGTATGGAAGCGGCACTGGCGCACCCCGCTGCCAGCGCATGCAGTGGCTGCAGACGTTAGAAGTACATGTCTGTGGTTGAGGAGTTGTGCATGGAAGCAGCGTGCGCGTGTTTGTCCTGCATGTGGCTGCGAACAGTAGCAGTATACGGCATGGGCTAGATGTGGTTCATGGCTCACTGTCTAGCTTGTAGGCGCAAGCTGCGGACGCCCACAGTCGCAAGGACAATAGCGAGAAAGCAGCGTTCTTTGCGCGATACGTCGACCGCGATCGCATGCTGATGGAGTTGGTGTACGGAGCCATTCGCTCCGTAACGCAGCTCCTGACTCCGGCGACCCCCAAGGCGTCGACGATGCCGACGGAATTGAGTCATGCCATCCTTGGGTGCATCAAGGAGCTGAAACGAATGAAAGAGTACGTGATTGGATCCTTCGATGCGCTGCAGAAGGACCTCGCGCCATTTCTTCCGTTCGAGGTATACATCCGAGCTCTCTGCCTTGAACCCTGTCGGCAGGATGGACGCATGTGACATCTGGTGCATGTCCAGGTGACGTGGCACGCTGTGGAGTGGCGACCTGATATGGAGCTCGCGGCGTGGTGCGTCGAGAGCATTGAAAAGACCAACGAGCACGCACGCATGCAGTTTCAACAGTTCTTGGCCCATGCCAATTCGACGCTGTCGATGCTGGCGGCGACGCACCGTGAGCGCGCCATGGAAGTCCTTGCGTTCATGAGGCGCAGCGCCGCACCAGACGCTGCGGTGAACAACGACAAGGACGCCAATATTCTCAAGATGCGACTCATGGATGCTGTGGCCGACCGTGATCAAGTTGGACTCGAACTCCAGCTCAAGGAAACTTTTTTCCAAGACCTCCTGCACCAGCACAAAGGAATTGCTTCAGACATGTACGCCAAGTTATCACAACAACAGCAGGTGTGGAAAGCCATGATGGCGGCGTCGACGACGGCGGCGCTGTCGCCGCCGAGATCCCCCACAGCCAAGACTGCTGAAGTCAGCGCCAAGACGCTGCCACTAACTATGCTTAAACCCGTGCCAAAACCGAAGTGGCAGGAAGAAGACCCCACCACGACTGTGCTCTCGAATGGCCGCACGCTCAAGGAGCGGTTTGTGAGTGACCTGGCAATCGAAACCGGCCAGAATCCCCCCATGAAACGTGGACAAACGGCTCAGCAGCTGCGGGTGAATGCACCGGGCACGATCGACCGACGCAAAGTGAGCCAGCCGTACGTCGCTATGGCACCCAAGAACATCCAAGCGTCTACAATGTCATCTACCAAACCAACGTATGGTGGCGCAAACGAAAGCCACCAAGACCATCTGTGGTACCAAGGGGTCAAGCTGGTCGATGGCCAGTCGCTGTCGTTGGCGGTGGCGTACAACCCGACCCGAAACAGCGTCGTGCTCGACGTGTTCAACACAGACACCGAGAGCATGCAAGCCATTGAAGTGAGTCCAAAGCTGCTGCACAGCGTCAACAAACCTTTGGTACGTGGATGGTCACGGCATGCAAGGGATGCTCAACGTGGTATGTAGACTGAGTTCACACCCATCGAGCGAAGTCATGTGGTCGACGCAGTACTGCAGCGACTGCACATGACCCCTTCCGAGGGCGGCGCGATGCAGTGCATCGTGGCGGATGACGACCTGTAGCCGCTACGCCCAGGGAATAAATGTCGACATCAAATATTTGATAGAATATCAATTTTCTATTGGTTATCTTGATAAAAATAGTATACAACAATAATTTTATCGATTTCAAAATCGATGGGAAGTTAATGTAACTTGATTGGTCACTTGATAAAGATTTCAGCCAATGAATGGTATTGATCAAGCAATATATCCAATCATGTTGGACGAAATCAAGAAATGCCGCCAATCCGATGACGACATAGTATACTATGCGTCGGACGATGGCGCTGCGGCAGGCAATCCGTGTTGTCGGTGACTTGACAAAGGTAGATGATGCATGCATCATTCCTTCACCCCATAACGAGTTTATGCACATGCAGGTTCCACATGGAACGCTGCCAGAGGTGGGCGTGACGGCCTCGATCGACCATGTCTTTCGTGCTGGCGACGTCGAGTCTTTCGCTGCTTTGTCAGGCGATACAAATCCATTGCACGTGGATGCAGCGTTTGCTGCGACGACAACGTTTGGCAAACCAATCGTCCATGGGATCCTCTGCACAAGTCTTTTTCCGACGATCTTCGGCGCAACGTTTCCCGGCGCCGTGTATGTTTCGCAAGACGTCCGCTTCCACAAACCGATCCTGGTTGGCGACGCCGTGCGTGCCGAGATTCAAGTCGTCCAAGTCAAAGCGCGCATGCGCCTCGTTGTGTGCGCGACACGGTGCTTGGACCACCATGGAGACGTTGCCATCTCCGGTGAAGCCAAAGTGCTGCTACCAAAACGTCCAGAGCCTTCTGCAACTGACTCGTCTCGCGCCGCGCAATGACAACACTAGCGTGCTCAACTCTTCCGTGATCATACGCCAACCTATAGCACCTGTGTACATAAAGGAAGCTGCGCATTTTGACGCATACGGACGGCCCATGGGCTTTCGATAAGGTCCTGCAGAGGTCGACGGGCATTCATGGACCAGAACTGCTTCACCAACATGGCAAGTCGAAGCAACTACTTTGTGCAGGAACTGTGACACGTTGGGTGATTCACCCAATGCATGCACGTTGGGCAAGCGCCAACGCCACATCCACTTTGGAGAAGAGAAGGAGGACCAAAGCCATGCGCCAACTCAAACATGTGCAGACCACGCGCGAGACACATCGACGGGCAGGCATTCGTTGAGAATGGTGTGGTGTGGCTGGGATGCGTCGCGAGCTGCAGAGCGTCGCAGATGTAGCTAAGGGAATATATGTACTTCCTGCCTGAATCAACTCTTTGTTTTGCGCATTTTGCCAGCAATTGTGTTGAAAAATGGCAAAGTTTCAATGAATAGTGGTCCAGAATATCGATGAAATCGTTCTAGCTTCAACGGATTCTGAGTGTCGAAGTCGAGTATCGGGGCGGCACAGGGAGACCTACTTAATGCGACGCCTTCTTGGAAGGAGGTTCACGCCACAGAGACTTGACAGTCTCGGTGACGCCAGCGCCTGTGACGTTGAGGGTGATGAGCCCCAAGAAAGTGACGACTGACACGCCGAGGACACCCGTGCGAACCAACTTTTGAAAGTTCTTGGGCACGTAGTCCGACACGGCGTTGTTGATACCGATATGGCTGTGCACGGGGATCAGCACCGCCAGCAAGTTGTCGACCGGCGTGTTCAACGCAGACGGGCTCAGCACGACCGCGGCAGGGACGAGCGCCAAGAGGCCGTAGCTCGTGTAGTGCATCACCTTGCTAGTGTGCTTGGAGTTGTCGGCTACGTTTCCACATTGCACGGTCATCCATCACGTCGTCGAAGGCGACAAGGCAAGTGTACCATTGAGGACAGCATTGAACCCAGTGTCTGCCTTGTTTTCCGTAAACTTGGTGGGGTTGCCTGGGCAATCATAGACATGAGCACGGGCTCGTGAACCCGCATGACCGGCTCAATGTACGTACCTTTGCGGAAGCCTCGCGTTTGCGAGGCGGCGGCGCGGCGGACAGCAGTGGAGGAGATGCGGGCAAACATGACTGACGGTCGGTCGACTGGACTGGCTGGAGTGGATATGAGGTGGCGGAACTGACTCCCGCAAGTACGCCGGAGTAAGTCCAATAGCTCTTCTAAGTTCGATTCGACGAGTCCCGAAGTGCACATCGAGCTCTGTCGCAGCTGCTAGCCAAGCCGTCGCCATCTCGTGCCATCGGCGTCGCATCTCGGCCGCAGCATGTTAGCGACTGGACCATGTGACGATTCGTTACGTGTGCAGTCGGGGCCAGGATGGAGCGTGCGGCTTTCGTCCCATCAAAAAGAAGCTGCGATTGCATTGGCTAAAAACGCTTGCCATAATCCAATCAAAAATCGAGGAATCCGAGTGATTAATGTAGGCATTTAAACCATAATTTAATATGCGTACAACTTCAAACTTTAAACTGGCAATATATTTAAACTGTGTAAAATGCCCGAAATGTAGTCATTTCAGTATCTTACTAAGA